CGCATCTTGCCGACCACGTCACGCGGCGGCGAGGGAGACCCCGCTCTACTACCCTACCCCGCTCTACTACCCTACCCCGCTCTACTCATCGATGCCTCGCGGCACGTGCACAAGGGCCTTATAATCCGGGTAGAACATGGACTTGGAGATGAAGGACCGCATCACCTCGGGGCCCTGTGCGAACTTGTCGCGCATGCGGCCCCGCAGCCGGCCCTCCTCCCCTGCTGCAGTGGCGACTGCGGTGGCGATGCTGGCGGAGATGTCGCGAATGGCGGCCAGGCGCGGGTACACCAAACCTGGGGGCCCAGGGAGGGCGGGAGGGAGGGAGGGGGAAAACGGCTCCAGGATGGGATGTGGGGCGGCGGCGGCAAGGATGGGGAAGGAAAAAAGGGGCGGGTGTGCGTGTGGGGCCCGGGGGCCCAGTAAACAAGGAAAACGAGGAGACTCGCATCCTGGCGGGTGTGGGGGCGAGGATGTCATCCGAGCTGTCAATGAGCTCCGAGGGGGCCCCTCGTTGGAAGAGTCAGGAGGCGGCGTGTCGCGCGCACGTGTTTTTTCATCGTACGACACGGGTCACAAGAAACAAGTCCACACGCACGCGCAAAGGTCGGGCCGGGCCTGACGAGGCGAGGGGCGGTCGTCATCAATGGACCAGGAGTGTTAGCAGAGGCTACACCTACCCATGGCGTACCCACCCAGCCATCCCCCGATCCCCACAACACGAATTCCGGTCCCCAACACCCCAGCGGCCCCGCTGCCACCCCTCCACACCAGCTTCATCATCATCACCATCATCATCATCATTACCATCATTACCATCAGCAGCAGCGGCAGCAGCGGCAGCAGCGGCAGCAGCAGCCCTAGAGCACCCCCCAGCGCCCCCGCCCCTCCCCCCCGCCCTCCCCCACGCCGCACCCTTGTCCAGGTCCTCCCGCGGCACCAGTTTGGGGAGCTCCTCCGCCACCGCCATCAACATGGCATCCGTGATGATGCGGGTTTGACCCAGGAAACCCCCCAGTGCGACACCTGAGCGAAAACACACACGCATACAGATACACACGCGCGCGTTTAAGAGCGAAGCGCGCCCAGGGGGAGGAGAGGAAAAAGGGGTTGGAGAGGAGAAAGGGGGACAGGGGCCAGAGGTAGGGCGTGTAACGGTTGGGACGGCGAAAACCCCGGGTACGGCAAGAGTAAACTGGGACAAAGCAGGTGCATACATACAGACATACAGACATACATACAATCCAACCCACGGCATGTAGCGGGAGGGCTGGTGTTGCCGCAACACCGGCCCGAGGGTAGTGAACTCCCGGAGAATTCGGGTGGAGATGGTGGGGGGGTGGTCGGGGCAATGAACGCAGGTGCCTACCACCACCCGGCACCCCAACACACCGGGGAATATGTACATGTTGTTGGCTTGGGACACCGCCACAGTGCGGCCATCAGGCAGCTCCACGGCTGGCTGGGGGCTGCCGGAGGCGTAGATTGCTCGTCCACCTGTACAACGCATGGCATCCTCTGCCGTACACTCCATACGGCTAGTCGGGTTCGACATGGGAAAGATGATGGGCCGCTGCTGGGGGCAGCCCTCCGACATCACGGTCAGCACCTCGTCCGTGAACAGCCGGCCGGCGCCCGCGAGCCCCAACAGAATGGTGGGCCGGACCTGCGGCGCAGTGGGAAGTTTCGAGAAGGGAAGCCTCTGTGTTGAAGCCTCCTCGATGTGGCCCCTCCCTTCTGTTTCCCACACAGCTCAGCTGTTCATTCCCTTTGGATGTGGAGTGGAGAAAACGGCCAAGACGACTCCGGACAAGGAAGTTAACTTTTGGGGGAGTGGAAAGGCAACCGGTGGAAACAAACCCCAGCCTGCAAAAGCACAGGAAGCTCAGCACAGCCCCAGCCCCAGCCACCTCCGCGCAGCTTTCAAGGCCCTTATGCTGAACTGCCCCTCCCTCCAAAACCGCAAATGCACCCAGCCACCATGCACCCAACCCCACTACCACCCACACATACATACATGTATACATACATAAATGCTCCCCCTACGTACTCGCTTTATGACCGACAGCAGGTTCTCCCCCTCGTGACCGACATCCCGGCGCGCAAAGGGCCGCACGTACTCCGTCACGTTGGCCCGCGCTGTGGTGATCAGGCCGCTGTAGTCCAACACCCAGAACCGGGAGGCCGCCTGCGCGGAACTCAGGCCCTGCTTCTGCATACCTGCATGTACGTATGTATGTACGTATGCATGTATATATGTATGTATGTACGTATGTCAGGTGCTGCATCGTCCTCGCCATCCAGGAAGTTAGCTTATGTGTACGACTACTGGATTGATCTACTTCACGCATACCCGTTGCTCTGAGGATGCCTCTGAGTATGCAGCATGCCGTACACCCCAGTACGTACGTGGCAAACTCTGTCGGAAGCTTGTTAGGGCAGGGCAGCCATGAACCGCCACTGATCACCCCTAGCAGCTATTGCCGCGGCTCCGGCGACCCTTTCACCCCTTTGTTCCTTGTCGCAGGAAATACCTTCCCGAGCTCTTATGCCCCATGGGATGTCGTACAGATGTCGTACATGTATAGATGACGTCATATGCAGCTCTGCAGTGTGTGTTAGTTCCCAACACCCACCCCAAACCCCCACGATTTTTTACATTCCTCAACGTGGTAGTGCCGCACCTGCTGCAATCATCCGCACCACTCCCATACCAGCCGACCCGGCCCCCACGCAAACGATCCGTTGCTCCCCCAGCGCGGAGGCAGGGAGGTTCAGGACGCGCAGGGCGCCGTACAAACCCGCCAGGGCTGTTGCCGCAGTGCCCTAGGGCCGTGGGGGACAAAAAAGAGAGAGGGCGAACGTGTGAATGTGAAAATACAAATTTATGGGTATTGCAGCCCCACAACGGAAAACACAACAGGCGCAGATTCCTTCCCCCACCACAGAACAGCAAAGCCCAGTCGCCTAGCTGGCAAGGTGGCCAGGTGTCTCTTTACCTGTCAGTCAACCTGGTTATATCTGTCTACCTGACCATCTAACTATCTATCTATCTATCTATCTATCTATCTATCTATCTGTATGTATGTATATATGTGGATACGCCCACCTGGATGTCGTCATTAAAGACCAGGTGGTGCTTACGGTACCGCTCCAGGAGGGGCCCCGCGTGCTCAATGGAAAAATCTTCGAACTGGAGTACGGCATTCGGCCAGCGCGCCATGGCCGCCGTCACGAACTGCACCCCATGTTGTGGTCGGATGTGAGTCGCGGGGGGGTGGGGGTTGGGGGGCCCGGGGCCGGGGTTTCAAAATGAAGACGCTTGGGTGTGTGGGTATGTGCGTGTGTGACTGTGCGGATGAATGGCAACACGGCTCAACAAGGTAAAACACACACACACATACACACACGATTGCCCCGCTCCCCGCCCCGTTCGCTCTCGAGGCCCCGCTGGTTCCCCTCATCTCCCACTCATCAAGGAGGCATTACCCCATAATCGCCATGCCCCTCCTCCCTCCCCCCCTTCCTCCCCCCCCGCCGCCACCGCATCCCCACACCGCCACCTCGTCAATTATGGCGAGGTACTCCGGTCCGGTTATGCGCGGTATGCGAAGGCCCGCGTAGTGTCGGTCCGCCCGGAGGGACTCGTTGTTGGTGCCCACATCGATCACCACGGGAAGCACCTTGCTCGGGGAGAAGCCTGCAGGGGGGGGAGAGGGGGGGCAGGGGGAGGGGACAGTGGAAAAGTGGTCGACCGATGGGGGGAAAACATCTGACCTCCCCCATACACACACATACATACATACACACACGTACCCGCAGCTGCACAATAGAGGTCCAGCTTGCCGATGGGGATGCCAAGACCTGGAGCCACGGGGCGGGGGACGGGGGGAAGGTAAGTAGACGTGTGTGTGTGTGCGTGTGTGTAAGGTGATTGGGGAAGGGAGAAAGAGAGGATTAGGTGGGCGCGAAGAGGCCGCAGTCGGTGGTGAGCTCCACAGTGAGACACATACATACGCACATACACACACGGGTTTTTCGCCTGCAATTTGTTCGACCCTTTGTTTGACTATCCATGGCTTCTCGTGCTTCTCGTGCTCTCCCTCTTTCTCCCACACATACCGAACATACATACATACATACATACATACATACATACATACATACATACATACATACATACATACATACATACATACATACATACACCTGTTTGCGTAAAGTTCTGCATGCGACTTCTTCAACCTCTTTCCATCTCGCGGCTCAGTCATTTACATACATACATGCATACGTATACATACATGTACATACATACAGAGAGGCACATTCACCAAGGTATACCGCAATGTACGGATGAGGAGAGCTCGCTCACCATTGATCCCCAGGTCGCCAAGGCCCAGAATGCGGCTGCCGTCCGTCACCACGATGGCCTGATCACGAGACACATACACATACATACATACATACATACATATGTATACATACATATGTATACATACATATGTATACATACATATGTATACATACATATGTATACATACATATGTATACATACATACATATGTATACATACATACATACATACATACATACATACATACACACATATATATCTGGAAACCGACTGCTTGCTAACCGTATCATCATGGCAAACAAAGGACAAATGTCAATTCAGTACACTTCCCCCCTACCCTGCGACGACAACCCAATGTGCCCACAACAACACCCCTAGTACCGCCTTCACTCCCCACCTGCACATCCGGTTGAGGCCAATTGTACACCATCGCCGCCTGTATGTATGTCGCTCGACGTTTACGTACGTCAGCCAACCGACCAACCAACCGATCAACCATCCAAGGGGAAAGGAAAAAGGGAGGGGTATTGAGAATCGCGAGGCCGGGGGGAGTTGAAGTCTCCCCGGGGGAAAGGAAAGTATCTTTACGACAGTCAGCATCAGCAAAAAGGCGAATTTGAGGGCAGCTGTTCGTACGGTACCGTGGAGGTGGTGGAGGTGCGGTGCGTGGCGGAGATCCATGGATATGCAGTACAGTTAGTTATACACGTCACCATTGCCAACAAGCACAGTTGCACGAGCAGAACGCCCATGTAGACATACGGACATGCACACACACACACACACACACACATGACCATCGCCAATGTCCCGTGTGCGGCGCCGGTCTCGTCGGGTCCGTGAGTTCCACCGCTTCCCAGACACGGACACATACAGACAGACAAACACAAAGGATGCTATTCATGATTTTAGCACAAACTGACTCGAATATTTGATCGGCAGGAGTTAAAAGAAAAAACAAGGAGTATATGCACACGAACCTTACAAAATTGTGAAAAAAAATCCGTAAAACCCTCATGCCATTATTTTATTTGTTGGTTTTAAAATTGCAGTAGACCTCAAGAATTCGTATTGTTATGCCTATTTGGACTGTGGCAGTGGCAGTCAGTCGGAAGGCCGTTGCACACCCCGCCCCCACCCCCCACCCCCCACCATGTCGCCCCGGTCCTCCGCGCTGAAGTACATGCCCCGGGGCCGCCGGTAGAGCTTGTGGAAGTTGACACACACCCAGCCCACAGTAGGGGTGTAGATGATGGGCGCCATTTCCTGAAGGGGAACAGGGAAGGGGCAGCAGTAGCAGTAGCAGTAGCACCGGCGGCAGCAGTAGCAGTAGTAATAATAGTGGCAGTAGCACCGACAAGAGCAAGCTCAGAAGCTGTTGCAGCAGCAGCTGCAGTGAGATTTCCGTTGCCGGCCCAGACGTATTCCAGGGAGGCATTGTACGGAAGGATGCAATTGGTTTTGAATTGGGGAGGGACGCGGGGTTTGCGGGCTTGCGTCCCGTCCCCCTCTCCCTCCGTCCCTTCCCCCCCTCCATGAAAACAATCACCCCGCACGTCCCGACACATACATACATACGTACATACACATACCGTGAAGTGGTCAAAGAGCACCCTGTAGAACAGCGTTTCATTTCGGTCCTGCAGCTCCTGCAGCACCTTCCACCTGCGGGCCATCTCCGGGGTTACTCCGCCGGACTTGACGTCCTCGGGGGGAATCAGGTGCCGGGGGTGGTAGTAGTCCTCCATGAAGCGAGCAGCCTGAGGGGGGAAAGGGAGGGAGGGAGGACGTAAGAACGAAAGAGAGGGGGGGGGGAAAGGGAGAGGGGGAATAATAAGAAAACCCGCCAAAACGCGAAACCACATGCCGAGTCGGAGGGCCGCCCCCCAATTTCCTAATCTCTAGCCGCCGCCTCGTCCCTGATCCACATGACACGGACACCCCGTTACACAGTGCCGTACATCGCGTTCCCGTGCACCCGGTGGTGTAACTCCCCACCCCCACAAAGTCATCAGCGTTTCCCCCTCCCCCTCCTCCTCCTCATCATCATCATCATCATCATCGTCATCATCATCATCGGGTATCTCCCCGGCCACACCCACTTGGGCCACAACTTCAGCCACCGTTGCGCCTCCCTTTTACCCAGGCAAAGAAATTAATTAAAGTATCCTCATTGTTGGTGGTTATGGCCAACTTGGCGCGGTGTTAACCTTATTAACCAGTGTGCACACCCGGAAATGGAGAGTGTAGGAAAAACGCCTGAAAAGACCTACCCTACTAGCGCCATTTTTAACGCCCAGCCCAGCCCAGCCCGCCCTGGACCAAATCCCGTCCAGCCTGCCCAGTTCCTTGCCAGCCAACCCGACCCGACCCGGTCCTGGTCCCGCCACTTGCTAGCGGCCAAGCCCTGGGTTGTCAGCCCACCTGGAGCTCCAGTGTCAGACTGCGGGGGGGGAGCAGCCCCCGGAGAGCCAGTCGGTCGCGTTCCGACCTGGGGAAGGCAGAACCCTTGGTGGTGGCGGGAGAGATCGGGAGGGGTTGAAGGGGGGAGGTAGGGCGGTTGAGGTAGGGCGGGAGTGATGGGGGGAGGGTGGGAGGGTAGGGAGCCCCTCCAGGCAAACCACACAAGGAGGCGAGGAGGGCGAAGAGATGAGAAGAGGGGGAGGAGGAGGAGGAAGGACGCATGTGCGGGGGTTGGGCTTTGCATTTGGGAATTTTAGGAACAAGGGACAAGGGACAAGGAAGTGGCATCAGGCGGTTACCCGGATGGGAAGGTTCCGTCCCTGGTGGAGGTGCGATGTCGGTGGGAGGATGCCGTACTGGACCATATGGGCTCACTGGATAAGGCTACCAGGCAAACCAAGGGTAGGGAAGGGAAGGGAATGGAGGAAAAGGAAGGGGTTTCGGAGCCAGGAGGACGGGATAGGGCTAATTTACCTTGTTGCACCATGGGTCCTTCAGCAAATCGAACCCGGTCTTGCGAACGACGTATGCGGGAGGCTGGAGCGATGGAACTAGGGGATGACGGTGGCGATCAGGGCGTTTTAGGGGTTAGGATGGAGAAGGAGGTAATTTGCAGGGCAGCGGCAGCGGGGCGGACGAAATGAAAGAAGTTGTTTCAAATGTGAATTTAAATTTGGAAATTGTGGGCCGTCGTTTGTGTGGTTGCGAGCTAGCAGCCAGGGCGCGTTTCGGTTTTTTGCTTGCAGGCGTTGAGGCCTTCGTCAAATCGGTCAATCTCTTGCTTAAATGCTGCCTCCGCGGACCCTTCGGTAAGAAAATAAAAGCCGAAAAGGGTCCAGCTTTCCAACATTAACATCGTCCTGGGTGCTGTCCATCCTTTTTTGGCGCCCGCAGTACATCAAAGGTAGCAATTGGGCCAGACAACTGCCAGGCGCCGATGCGTTATGCCTGTGACTTACTGTAGGGTGGGATGCCGCCTGTTGAATGTGGTTCGGGGTCTGCATCATCAAGGTGAATGAAGCGAACGAACTGCTCTTTAACAAACTGCGGTAGTTGGCATTGCACGAGTGCGCAGGCTGGGAGGCTTTGCTGCCCGCCCCGCCTAGCGTAAAACATAATGCCTGTATGCTACACTGGTAGCAGACGCGTAATACCAAAGGTGCTATATGAATAATCAACCTCCTTGAATAATACCTAACACAAGCAAATCCCTCTATCTACACGCGCCGGCTTTCTCAATAATGATGCATGTTCAATTAGTGTAAAGGCCGCCCTGCCGGAATGCTTGGTGGTTTGTACGAGCTTGTACGTTTGCGCACATGTTGACTCGGATGGGACTGGCAAAGAGTGGTTTTATCTGTATATACTAGCCTTGTGATCCAAACTGCCAGGTGCATTTCGTGTTCATCGAGTTAATGACAGTCCCTTGGAGGAGCAGGAACCTGGCTTTTGACTTTGTAATCGACTTATAATTCACAAATATGTCAGATAGAGTACTAGCACTTGTCCACTACTATGCTCGCGAAGGTTACTTCAGACATGTACAGACGGTCTGCAATGAAGTGCTCAAGAAGCGGCCTGGGGACCCGGTGCTTACGTTTTGGAAAGCGTATGGATTGCTTATGGAAGGAAATACTGCCGATGTAAGTATAAAGTGCATCATGGAGCAAACGCTCCAGTCGCGGCCCGGTCCACCACATGCAAGGCAGGCCGCTCACCTTCCGGGACGCCGCCATGGCAGGCGATGCGCGACCTTGGCAGCATTGCGGGAAACGTCGATCTGGATTTAGCCGTCTGTGCGGCACAGCTGATTGGCCATGAAGCAGCCAGAGTCCCCGACCACGATGCAATCATCGACCTACAAGCAAAACTGGAGGTACGCTGCGCGCTTACAATTCCACCAAATCAGTTGCACGTGTCTTGCATTCCAGGCGTCTCCGGGGTCCGGTCTCAACCCTGCACGCAGCGCCAGCTGGGGCATATACCGTACTGCCGGTCACACGCTTACAAGGGCATATACACGTACCCAAATCGATACGCAGAGCACACATTCTGCTTGACGACCCAAGCAGGATCAGCCCAATACACAGCCTAAGTATCCACATGCTCCATTCTCTGCGTTCACCCAGACCTCACCCCACGTTGTGGCGTATACCCGCCTAGCGCGATTGGGGTCGCAGATGTCGTGTCTTTACCAAACCCGCATGTAGTACCAAGAGGCGCGAGTTTGATACAGCCTGGTCGTAACTTGTGCCGATCCAAAGCATGGTTGGTGGAGGCTGTATTTCCTTTACCATACGCCGGCATATATCATATGCCATATGCGCGGGGGAGGAGCCTGCCCTATCCGGCTTTGGAGATGAGATGGAAGGGAGGGGCCGTACCACCCTCCTCTGGCCCAACGCGGCCCTGACGGCCCGTGTATCTCGGGTTGCCCGGGGGCATTGGGGCAGCTGCCTGGCCCGTCTGTATGTCGGTCGGCCATCCCGGTGTGCACACTGGCCGCGGTGTGGCTCCTAACCCTGTCCAACCCATCCGGGGCCTCGCCCATGTAGCTCATGTGGCTCGTGCCTCCGCGTACCACGGCCAGGCATAAGCACAACCCCACCGATACCCCTCCCAAGAGCTTTTCCCTGTCGCCATTTACCCTGCTTGCCGCCGCTGCCCCTCCCGCACCCGACTCCGCCCTTCCCCGTCGCAAGGTCGAGGAGCGAGCGGCCTCCGACACGCCATGCGTGCACCTGGCGTCCTTATACCTGTACACCAAGAGCAAAGAGAGGGCGCGGGGCCTGGTGGAGAGGGTGCTCCGGAACCAGCCAGACCACCTGCAGGCGCAGGTAGGGGGCCATGGGTGGGTGGTTGCCGCGGCATGGGGACCTGACGGGGAGCGGAAGGCTCCTGGATGCCCACCTCATGTGGCGATATGGGGAGTGGGATGGCATACGTAAGGCATATGAGGGGGCAGGGGGCCCTCCCCCTACTGTTACCATGGGCATCTTCTTTTCGCGAGGAGCGCGTGATGCAGGGCGATAGATATGTTATATGCCATTCGACATGCTGAACTCTGGCGCGTGCTAGGTCCTAATCTGCGCCACCGGCTCCCGCTGGCTCTGCTACGTTCTTCGTTCCCTCTCCAAATCCGCTTCTCCCCTCACAACCAACCCCATGCCCCTCCGTTGTCATCGCCATTGCCCCGTCGGGAAAAGGTTCTGTTGGGCTGGATCATCGTCAGCCAGCAGCAGGACGATGAATACGACATGCTTTTTGACGAGAGCGAGCTGGACGAGGCCTACACGCAATTTGAGCAGGCGGTGGAGCAGGACCACAGCGACCTGCAGGTACATGGGCCGGGGGGGGTGGGACGCGGCTCCGGGGGCCCTGTTGGGGATCTTCTTACCAAGGGAGAAGAGGAAAAGGAGGAAAAAAGGTAATAGCTGTAGGGAGGGGGAGGACGAGGAGAGCGGCGACGACGAACTGCGGCTGTGGGGTGGGCTTTAAGAGTTGTCCGTTCGGTCTGGTTGTGTGGATATGAGCGGTGGCAAGAGGAGCGGTGCAACAGGGGCGGGCATTGGGTAGGAGGTATGGGCGTTTAGGTCTAAGTCCCGTCCCGGGTGTTGTATGTGTGTGGGGGCCGCCAGTACACGAGATGGGTACTTCTGACGCGGCCAAGAAGGCTCCGCCAAGGCTGCTGGACGGCTTCGTCTGCTTCGTTATAGCCCCCCGGGGGCATTCTCGGGACCCCTCTGTCCCCTTTGCCGGCGTTTCCTCCTCTTCGTAGCCCTGACATGCCCCTTTTTTCACCGCCCCATGGGCCCCAACCATCCTGCCATCCCTGGACCCACCAGGCCCTTTTGGGCAAGGCCAAGATACTGGAGCTGAAGAAGCAGATGGCTCAGGCGGTAGACGTGCTGGCGGAGATTAATGTGCGCTTCGCCTGGTTCGTGCCCGCGCTGGTGGAGAAGGCGCGGCTGTTGATGGTGTTGGGCGACTGGGAGCAGGTCACGGAAACGCTGCAGCGGGTGCTGTCCTCGGACGCTCAGAACATCATGGCACAGGCCTGGGCGTGTAAGTGGGGGTTACGACGAAACACAGACGATTGACGAAAAGAAATTAAACATCGGCGGAAGAGCGGGGCCTGGCGCGGGTGTGTCGGGGGGGTTGGGAAAGAGGAGGGAAAGGAGGTTAGGAAAGTGTTATTTAATAACTCACGCTCCCCAGACTGGACTTGAGGCTCGGACCGGGGCCCCTCTTAATGCCACATGAAGCCCTACATGAAGCGAATGAAATGCGATTCTTCGGGTTTTTTAAGGGACGTTTAGGCGTTTATATTTGAACCACCAGAATGGTGAGGAAGGAGAAGAGGAGAAGAGGCACGGCTGCTGACGCGGCGGCTGCGCCAGCGGGACGGACCGCTCTCGGGGAGTGGGTGGGCAGCGCAAGAAGCGAAGAGATGTGCGTGTGTGCGCGCAGGCATGATATCTCTCACACGCGAGGGCAACAACAAGCAGGCCGCCAAGCAGCTGCAGGACCTGTTCACCGCCATGAACCGCCAGGAGCCGAAGAACGCCGAGCTGTTCTACAAAGTTGTAAGTGTGCGCGGCGCAACCTCTCCCCCCCCTCCCCCAACTCTTGCCCTGGCAGCAGCTTCACTCGTTCGTGGCTCGTCTTTCCCTCCCAGCTCGGGGTTAGGCCTTCAAATTTGGCTGGCTGGGTGGGTGGGTGGGTGGGTCGGAGGACGCCGAAGTGGGACCGGGGGGGTTGTTGGCTGTGGGAGCCTGGGCAGACGGACCGACCCGCATTCCCTGCTGCCTTTCCAAAGCCCAACCACCCTCCAGCACTCCAGCACTCCCTTCCCACACCTTCCCCCTTGTTCCCAGTAATCCACCTCTTTTGCACCGGGTAGCCCTCCATCCATCCTTTTACCCTTACCGCCCCTCCTTCTAAGTTTCCCCCCACCGCACGCACCGTCGTTTCCGTTTCCCCCCCCCCTACTGCCCCGTGCTGCGTCGCCAAATCGCTCACGGCGACTTGCGCCGCGACCCTGCACCGGCCGCGTCGACAAATCGCGCATGAAAGGCAAAAACCGGCCCCGGATTTGTGTGCCGCTTGTGTGTGTGCCCCCCTTCCCGCCCGGTCGTTGCCCTGTCTACCACGCGATCTGTGCGCCGCCGGTGCTCCGCAGGCTCGGCCCTTCGCCCGACTGGCCTGCAGCGACAGCACCCTGCTGGGGATCACCTTCCTTATGGCGGACCGGGCGGTGCAGCTCAAGCCCGACCACGCGCCCTATGTGAGTTACAGGAGCATGGTGTGTGGTCGTGTGTAGGGGGGTAAGACGAACCACCACAGGCGAAGCACTGATTGAATTGCTTCAGTGTTGACTTCTCTCCAGCAGCTGGTGCTTTGGGCGGCACGTCGGCATGTGACGCCGGCATTGCTTCCCGCATCATGTAATTGATTGTCCCAGTAATCATGTCCCAACTGCATGTTTCCCACATGTAGTAACCCACATCAGTAACGCCCCCCACCTGTGGATGCGGCCAGGTTGTGGAGGCGGCCGCTCAGAAGTTGTTGATGGACGAGGTGACCAACGCCACGGAGCGCTTCTCCCAGGCCATGCAGCTGGACGAGCTCAACCTGGACGCCAACGCGGGTGTCCTGGAGGCCCAGATCCTGAGTGGGGAGCTGGAGGAGGCGGCCGGACAGGTGGGGGCGGGGTGGGGCCAGGTGGGACTGGAGAACCTTTTACTGGGGACAGAAGGAAGTTCCTGGCTGGGATGTCGAGAACCATCAGGAAATTACCTCCCCGGATAGCAGGCTGCTCGTACTGCTTGTGTGTGTGTGTGTGTATGTGTGTGTGTGTGTCCGTGTGTGTGTGTCCGTGTGTGTGTGTGTCCTTGTGTGTGTGTGTGTGTGTGTGAATGTGTGTGTGTGTGTGTGTGAATGTGTGTGTGTCCGTGTGTGTGTGTGTGTGTCCGTGTGTGTGTGTGTCCGTGTGTGTGTGTGTCCTTGTGTGTGTGTGTGTCCGTGTGTGTGTGTGTGAGAATGTGTGTGTATGTGCCTGCCGCGGCGGCCGTTACCTTCCTCTTACGTTCCGTCACGAGGCGTTACCTGCTTCGGCCGAACGGCGGCGACGTCGCCCCACTTCTCATCGCGCAATTGTAGATCCTGTTCCTGGAGGAGATGTTTGCCAACGGCGGCGCTGGCGGCGGCCGCCGCCGCCGCGGCGGCGCCGGTGTCGACGATGACCCTGACATGGCCGACCCCATCACCGGCAGCTCCAGCGACAACCCCACGATCACGTATTTGAAGGGCCTGCTGGCATGGAAGCAGGGGAGCATAGCGGACGGGCTGGCGCTGCTGGAACGAGCCATCGCCGCGCTGTTCACCGCAGCCGCGGAGTACTCGGGGCCCTCCCTGGAGATGTACGCGGTGCTAAACCCCGCACGCATCACGACGGTGGTGCGGCTGCTGCTGCAGGGCGTGGGGGGGGAGCCGAGGGCACCTACGGAAGCTCCCTCGCCGCTCATCAGCAAGGTGGGGCGGGGCGGGATGAGGGTGGGGTAGGACGGTGCAGCAACGACAGAGCCAGTGCGCGGTTGGCTCAGCAGCAGACGCGTGTGTGTGTGTGTGTGTGTGTGTGTGTGTGTGTGTGTGCGTGAGAGAGAGAGTGAGAAAGGGAAAGAGAGCGGAGGTGAATGAGCTCACGAGGTATCGTAGGCGTTTGTTAAGGTCCTTTTCGTAGCTCTTTTGAGGGATGAGGGCTCTTTTTACTTCCTGCCTGCCTTCATCCCGCCAAGCCCCCTACTTACCTTGTGTTTCAGGTATAATCTCCGCTCCCTACAACTTCACCTCTTCCTCTGCCCCCTCAAACCCGTCCAGGACTATCCGTCTATCTCTGGTTTCTGCTTCGATCGCCCGTGGTTCGTCTCGACCTAGCCCGCAGACCTGATCTGATCCCCACCACCATCGCAGTTTGATGCGCTCCTATCTATCTAGGTGTTTGGCGTCGGTTTTAACTCTTCTCACTTTTGTTCCCGACCCCATCCCCCATCCCTCCACCTCCCGTGATAGGTGACCCGCGCTCTGGACCTGCTGAATAAGCAGGCCCCCGCGCTGCTGGAGTCCTCGTTGCTGCACGCTCGGGCCCTGTACTTGAACGGCGCCCTGGACGCGGCGCTACGCAAGGCGGGGGAAATCCTGCGCATGAACCCCGAGGAGTCGGGCGCACATCTCCTCATTTGCAGCGTGTATGTGGCGCAGGTAAGGGAGGGTGCATGCCTGGCTGGGCTCGTCTGGCGGTCTGTCTATCTGTCTGCGCGCCGGTCTGGACGAGAGGACCGCGACCGCTGGCTTGGCTTCGGCGGGGCGATGGCGGGGAGCCCCGGGGGGGGAGGGTGGGAACTGGGCGACCTTCTCCCACTACGCACCCGCTCACCCGGTACGACCTCCGCACGGCCTCCGCAACCTCGTCCACAACCCCGCCGCAAATGGAGTATCCGTCTGTCTCTGGTATCCGCCTCAACCGTCAGTGGCTCGTCTTTCCCGCCGCGAACTGCAGTCTGCCATTACTCTTTCCCTTTTGCCACCGTCCTTATTTGTCCTTATTTTTCCCTCCGCCCCTTCTCTCTCTACACCCCACCTACCCCCAGGACAAGCCCGACCTGGCTCTGTCCGCTCTGGACCAAGCTGTGAGCAGCAACTTCGCGGTGAGGGAGACGCCCCTGTACCACGTGGTCCAGTCCAAGGTGCTCATCGCGAACGGCAAGCTGGAGGATGCAAAGCGGGTGAGGTGTTTGTGGGGTAGGGGGGACGGAATCACGGCCGGCGCAACGGGGTGAGGTGAGGGGTGTTGAAGGGGGGCCTCTGTAATGAGAGATTGGAATAAGTAGTGGTGCGTCTACACAGGGGGGGTCCCATCAGGTAGTTGTGTGCGTCGCATCAGGATGTGTGCTGTAGGATGGCGGGAAAAAGGGTGGAGGACGGTCAGGTGTTGGAAGGGGGGGGGAGCGGCAGCGCAGCGTGTTGGGCTGTGTTGGGAAGGGCCTCGTTGGCTGGTGCCACACGAAACACAATATCCCCCCCGACGTTTCGCGAGGTACCCCTCCCGCCGCGGGGTACGCTGTATCCTTTCTATGTGTTTGTGAGCCCATACTCAGCCATCTTAGCCATCCTCGTGATTCCTCCCCCCCACACCACTCCCACCGACGTGCGGAGCGCTACACCCAACGCCACGCACCCGTTACCCCTCAACCCCTTGTGTCTGCATCCCCGCGCCCCTCGGTTCCCATCCCTCATTCACATGCGCAGCCCTGCGCTCCCACCCCCGAGTCCTTTTCCACCATCGCAGAGAGTGGGAGGGAGGGGAGGGAGGGGAAGGAAGGGAGGGAGGGAGGGAAATACGGGGAGGGAAGGAAGGAGGGAACTTTTATCCATTGTTGCTTTCCTCTTCCTTACACCCCTCCTCCTCCTCCTCCTCTTCCTGCCCGCGGCCGCCGCCTCCTGCTGCCGCAGGTCCTCGAGTCCGCCATGAACCTGCCGGGGGTGCGCACCCCTCTGAGCGCCCAGCAGCGCGCCCGTATGGGGCGCAAGGTGGTGGAGCCCACCCTGCATGAACGGGCCACCATATACCTGCTGCTGGCGGATGTGCTGGCAAGGATATCCAAGATCCCGGATGCGCCGGAGGCCAAGAAGGTAGGCGGGCAGCGGCAGGGAAGCGGTAGAGAGTAATGCTGTGGTGGGGGCGGACGTGGTGGTGGTGGTGGTGGTGGTGGTGGACTGGCAGTTGACCCCAGCGCTAGGGGCACCTGCCGCATATGTGCGGGCCGAGCCATGGGCCGGAGCCGGGGCCTGATGTCAGGTCCCCCTTCCGTCCCCGCTTCCCTCCGCTCAGTGCTTATCCCGGATCTGGCCCCCACCCAACAAGCACACACACACACACACACACACACACACACGGCCCTTCACGCCCCTCTCCCCCCGCTAGGGAGAGAGTGCTTCGGCGGTCGTTCCCGTTTGGGTACGGTTAGGTGCCGCTGGCCAGCATCAGGCCCGGATCAATGTGTAACAGAATACATACACACGCACACACATGACCGTTCTTCACTTTCTCGGCGCTAACTCCCTTCCCCCCCACCGTATCCAAACCCCCACTGCCCGCTCGCCCGCACGTGCCCGTACATCCGTACGTACGTCCTGTTTCTCGCAGTACATCCAAGACGCCATCCGCGAGTTCGAGGGCACCAGTGAGGAGGTCCGCGTAACGGTGGCCGACTGCGAGCTGGCCATTGCACGCGGCGATGTGGAGGGCGCGCTCAAGAAGCTGCGTCGCATCCCCAAGGACTCCCCCCACTACGTCAAGGCGCGCATGGCCATGGCGGACATCTACCTGCGCCACCGCAAGGACAAGACCGCCTACATCAAGTGCTACATGGACCTGGTGGTGAGTGTCTGCGTGTCGGTGTATTGCGTGTGCGTGTGTGCGTGTGTGCGTGTCTGTGTTTTTTTAACCTGAGCTGCGAGGAGGGGCAGTAGATTTTTTACCTGAAGGTAAAATACAGAAAATATACAAAGAACAGAGTAGACAGATAAGTATGTTTTTGGAGACGGGAATGGCACAGGAGCAGGCAGCTTCACCGAAGGAAATAGTGTGCCAGAGGGCATGTATGTGTGTATGTATGTCTCCCCCGCCCGCGTTTACCTCTGCACGATTAGAGGAGTATCGTACAACATCTTCAAGTCCCTCCTCAGTCGGGGCCTTCCGCCTGTGTTACTCCCTCCTGGAGTGAAGCGCTATGACAACCGCACCCGCACCTCCCCACACCCGATTTCCTTTCACCGCACCTGCACCCCCTTTCTCCCCTGCCCCCTGCCCCCTGCTGCTGCTGCTGTTACTGCTGCTGCTGCTGCTGCTGCTGCTGCTGCAGGACCACACTCCCGACTACGACAGCTACTGCATGCTGGGTGAGGCGTTCATGCAGATCCAGGAACCGGAGAAGGCGGTGCGCGCCTTTGAGAGCGCGCTGGACTTCAACCCCAAAGACGTGGACCTTATCACCAGGGTGAGAACTAGGGCGCTGGGGCCTGGGGACGTAGGGGCGGCGGGAGCACAGGGCCTTTCTCTCTCCCGTCCAACGACCTTTCTTCAAAACCCTTTCTTCCGTTCCCCTTGGCTCCCTCCTCCCCATTCCCCGCCCGGGGCCCCCAGTGCGCCCGCGCCCTAGTGACGAGCCACGACTACCAGCGGGCCATAGACTACTTCACGAAGGCCATCGCCAACGCGCGCGGCGGGGTCCAGGTGGGAAGAAACGGCGCCGCTGCCCGCATGCCCTGCTCGGCCCGGCCCAGTCCTGCCCTATCCTGTCTTAACCTGCACTGCACTGCCCTCTACCATATAGCGTAACTTGTTCTCATAGGCCACTTGCGTACTGGATCTACATTCCTTTACCCCTAAGAGACCAACCTACTCCCTCCAGCCGCACCTGCACGCGCTGTTTATATCTCCACACATGCCCCCTCTTACTCCCCCGTTCACACCCTCCTCTTGGGCCCCTGCTGTTGGCCCCTGTTCTTGGCCCCACTCGCCCGCTCCCCTCCCCGCAGCACTCGCTTCAGCTGGAGCTGGGTAACCTGTTGGTGCGGCTGCGGCAGTGGCAGCCCGCTACCGCCGCCATCAATAAGGCGCTGGAGCGCAACCGGGAGGGACTGCCGGCTACGGAGAACCTGCAGCTGGATGTGGAGGGGTGGGTGGGCTCCGCTGCTGTGTGCCTGTGCTGTGTTGTGGGTTGCGTTCTGTTGTGTTGTGGGGTAGCAAATGACGGTTCTGGACGGTTCTTAACCGCCCCCATTGCCGCCCCCTCGATACCCCCCCCCCCGGTCCTTCTACCTGGTTGGCTCGCTGCCCCGCTTCGCCTCTTTGCTCTTCCTCCTGCACCTCCTCATACTGCGCAGGTGGTCAATGTTGGCCAAGGTGCACAAGGGCACGGGCGACATGGACGGCTACGTGGCTGCTCAGACACGCGCACTGGACCTTCAGAAGCAGCTGCTGCTCAAGCTGCGGGGGGAGCTGCCCGAGGCGGTGGCCCTGCAGCGGGAGCGAACTGCCGCCATCTGCTTCGACCTGGCGGAACAGCACAAGCGGGCGAGGAAGTTTGACAGGGTGAGGGGTCGGGGTGAGGGGCCCGGGAGTTGAGGGGTGGCAGCAAGGTGGGCGGAGGTGTACAGGAGGGAGGAGGAGCCGAAGAGTTAGGTACACATCGGGGGGGCCTAGGTGAGGAGGTGGGGGAGGGGGCGGAGGAGGGGTGGGGCATCCCACATTACACGACTCAGGCTCCACAACGGCTTCTCCCACTTTTATCCAATATATTGAGTCGACCCCATCAAGGCAGGGCAGGGCCGCATATAATCACATTTTCAGCGTGAGGACACCTCCCTCCCGCCTACCCCCTCCCCCTCCGCCTCCCCCTCGCCCCACACTCCCAGGCCATGGAGCTGTACATGGAGGCCCTCCGCCACCACGAGACCCACGTGCCGTCCATGCTGGCGGTGGCCAAGCTCCACCTGGCCAATGGCGACACGGACGCATGTCAGGCGCAGTGCGTCAACCTGCTCAAGCACGACCCCGACAACGAGGAGGCGTCCATCATGTTGGCGGAGCTCATGTTCCACAAGGTCTGGGGGTGTGGAAGGGTTGGGGGGGAAGGGGGTGGGGTGGAAGGGGGTGGGGGGAAGGAGGTCGTGGGGAAGGAGGTGGGGGGGAAGGGGGAAAGGGGTGATTATAGGCGGTGGGGTGGAGGAAGATGCTTCAGTGGGGACTGAGCGAACTGATCTTTGTTGAGGGTTGTGGGGCGGGGAGAGGGGGGGGAGGACATTGGGCCCACAGAGGCTTAGGAAATTGGCTGAGGAGATGTGCGTGAGGAGGGAATGTGCGTGGGTAGACATGGGACGACGGGATTTGTTTGGGGAGCGTACGGCAACCTGCTAACTTCCAAAATACACAGACTCACAGACCCGACACTACCCCCGTCCTCTTCCGCCCCGGGCCCCGGCCCCGCACATCCTCGCCAATGCACTGTCACCGTCGCTTCCGCCCCCACTTCCCTACCACGCCCGCCTAGCCACCCCAACCCCTCATCCACCTCACCTCATCCAGCCCTCCCTCCCGCTCCCGCCACCTCACCCAACCTCGGCGGTCTTCTCTCCCACCCCACCCCAGGAGCACTACGACACCGCCATCTACCACTTCCAGCAGCTCCTGGAGCGCTCCCCCAACCACTACGGTGCCCTGGCCCAGCTCATCCTGCTGCTCCGGCGCGCGGGTAGGCTGGAGGACGTGCCCCGGTACTTCAATTTGGCTGAGACGGGCTCCCCCAAGGCCATCATGGATCCTGGCTACCACTACTGCAAGGGACTGTACAACCGGTGAGGAGGGAAGGGGGAAATGTGGTAGTGGTAGTGGTGGTGATGGTGTAAGACCAGGCGTGTGTGTGTGTGTGTTTTGGGGGGGAGAGAGGTGTAATTGGGGCGTGGGAGGAGGAGGGGTTGGTGGGTTGATATCTGCACGCCGTTGGTCGTGAGGGTACGGCATTGCGTTGGGTTTTTCGTCCTGGGCGCGTGATGTGGTGGGGCGGGGTGCGGTGGGGGAGGGGTGGGGGAGGGGTGTGCTGCAGAAGGGCTGGATTCGGGGGCCGGATCCAGGCCTATTCCTCTATGTCTCCCAGATTTGGATACAAACAAACCTCCTTTCCACCGGCTGCGGCTTTACCCGTCCCGTCCACATCTCCCCCCACTTCCCTCCCCACCTTCCCGCTTTCTCCCCTCCCCCTTCCCTTCCCTTCCCCCAGCTACACCAACAACCCCCGCGAGGCGCTGAAGGAGCTCAACCTGGCTCGCAAGGACTCCCGCTGGGGCTCCTCAGCCATCCTGCACATGGTGGAGATCTACCTCAACCCGGATAACGACGCGGTGTGGGAGGAGAAGGAAAACGCCGACACACCGGAGAGCCGGGAGGCAGTGGCCACCGCGCGGAGCCTGCTTAGACAGGTAGTTGGGGGCTGGGGTCTGGTGGCGGGGAGGGAAGGGGGCTGCAGCGTGTGTGTGTGTGGGGGGGGGGAGACGTGGATGGGGGTGGGGATGACGATGGAGGGTGCGGCAACGTCGCCGGGGAGCTGAGGAAGCGGGAGTTCGGACGGCCATGACCAACGAACTGACAGACGGACAGACCGACGGAGAAACAGACTGACTGGCTTGCTGTTTGCATACGCGCGCACATGACAGTATATTGCAAGTACATTGCAAGTTTATTGCAAGTATAGTATGTAATACATGTCTGTGCTTGTTGGGACACGGGGCCACTGAGTGGGTGCATCCGCCGCTGGTTCGCTTCCCCTCGGGTGGCCAGGTCCGCGGTGCTGACACCACCACCCAGCGATACAAGGTGCTGGAGTGCTACGCCATGATGGCGGGCAAGGACAAGAACGAGATTGAGAACGCGCTGAACGCACTCCTGGACTTGGCCAACCAGGTAAGGGAGCTGCGCGCGTGTGTGTGTATGTGTGTGTGTGTATGTGGGTGTGTATGTCTGTGTGTGCGTGTGTGTGCGTGTGCGTGTGTGTGTGTGTGTATGTGTATGTGTGTGTCTGTGAAAGGGGGAAAGGGGAAGGGGGTAAGGAGGCGGGAGAGGGGGATGTTGTGCCAGGTGCGTGCCGTTTGGACGCATCGCTTCACGCGTGTCGGGTTCGCCCCTCGTGAGCTTACGGAAGCGGTCGAAGTAGCTGCAGTGGGACAGTAGGAAAGTGAGACAGAACATCTGGGCAGAACACCAGAACGTGATGCGGTTCTTGTGGTTACTCGCGATAGGGATTTGGGGCATTGACCAGGGGGGCATAGTACCCGCCTTTGACTGGCCTCTTAACCCTCACCCCTTCCTTCACCCCTCCTCCACCTCCCGCAACGCAGCATTTTACAATTTACCTTCTGTATGTGTGTATGTCTGTCACGGTGTCTGCCTGTCTCTGCCTGTCTGTCTGCGTCTGTCTGTACGCGTGCATGTATGTATGTATGTTTGCTGTATGTAACGCACATTTCATCTATCCAGAAAACCCCGTCTTCCGTCTCACCCTCTTATTCCCTCCCCTAACCCCCACTATCCCCCGCTCCGCTCAGGACCCCAACAACGTGCCAGTCCTGCTGGCCATGGCCACCGGCTTCATGATGCTCAAACAGACGCCCAAGGCCCGCAACCAGTTAAAACGGGTCCAGAAGATCCAGTACAAGCCGGACGAGGCGGAGGAGTTTGAGCGCAGCTGGCTGCTGCTGGCGGACATCCACATCCAGGTGTAGGATTGGGATATCCAGAGGGGTGGGATGGGGGGATGGAGGTGGGGGCGGTAGGAAACCTGGACGACGTGAATGCGGTGGGCTGCTTGAAAAAGTCCTTTAAGAGGGTTAAGGGAATATGTGGCGTGTTATGTCGGGGAAAGATACGTAGGGAGGGGAGGGGAGGGGAGGGGAGGGGAGAGGAGGGGAGGGGAGGGGAGGAGAGGGGAGGGGAG